CCTGTACGATCAGCAAACAGCTCCACTGTTGCGGAAATCTTTGGCTAGGACTGCGTCCTCTTCATCGTTCCAGAATGGCCTTGCTGAGTCCAGACCGTCAACCGCCCAACGCATGGAACCAGCGCAGCTGCACTCTTCCCCTCTTGCAATTTCCACAAGCGCGCCGACCATTGTGCCTCCACGGTCTTCTCTGCATATGCGATCAGTGACGTCTCCAAATAACTATTTTCCGTCGATAAATACATCCTCTTCGAGCCTTCCGCCCATGCCGCAAGGCAGCGATGCCAAGTCGCCGTATACACCCGACGATTATTTTGAAGACGCGCTCTCCGACTCAGACGACCGCCTGAGCATGAATCATCCGTCGTCCGCCAGTCCGCGGGTTGGACCGGAAGGTCCGTTCTCGCTTGAAGCGGTAATTCGGAGCAGCGTGCGGCGACTCACCGGCGGTAACGCAGTGGGCCGGGATAGAGAGCGGCAGAGAGAACTGTTGAGGGCTCAACATCGCGCACTGGCCAACTCACCGCGAGTCCCAAAGGTTCCTCCAGAATACCTTGTTGGGAGCGGCAGTATGCCAACATCGCCTGGCCGGCAAGGCCAGTAGATTTCTCTTTCCTTTTTCTTTCCTTTTTTCTTTTTCCTCTTTCTTATTTTTGTTTGCAAAATTTTATGCTACTTATTGCTTAATCTTCCCATGTTAATGTCGCATGACCTGATACCATTTCTAATATACCCCTCCTGCAAGTGTTTTGTTTGATGGGATACACGTATATCAGCATTTGCATCTTGCTTCTAATTATGAGTTTTTAAATACATATAGCTTACGTTTCCGGATTTTTTCATTTGTTTTCATAATGTAATCGAATATCTCCTATATATATATATATATATATATACGAGTCGCTTCGCTCATGAAGTTTATATATGACGTACATCCGTCCATGTCATGCATTCTACTGGCTCTTTTGGGCGTTTCAACATGTATAGCATGGCTCTCGTCTAAGTCTTGGGAAGTTCAACATGTGTTTTTGTTTGGATACCTAAAAAGCCAATATCTGAATAGAAATCAAATAGCAATATGTAGAGTGCACTATTATCTCGGAATCAAGAGGGACCATTGGGGGTAGTCGTCGTTCCCTTCGACCGCTTCCATTGCTCCGAGTCAGGAGAGGGACACGAAAAGGCGCGCTCGAATGGAATGGCTAGAGGGCTGTCGCGATTATCACCACGTGACCACTGCCGGGCTGGCTTGCTTCTGGCTGGCTGGCGGGCGGTTATCTCACCCAGCGCTTCATCTTTCCCCTTTGGTTCAGATGGTCCAAACCCCGCCGGCGGCATTTGGGGTGGCTTGCAGTTCCACGGAACCTCACTCTGCAAAAAAAGAAAAAGTAAAAGAGAAAGAGAGAAAACTTACCCCACAGATTGGCAACCCGGAACCCGGGGCGACATAGGACCAGCTCTGCTCCATCAGAGTTTGGGGTAGCTCCACGGAGATGGATGGATTATCTTGCACGGCACCAGCCCAAAACGGATCCAAACTTAACCTGATATCTCTTGGCTGACCTTGAATTGATTGCAGCCAGACTGTCCGCTGGTGGTGACTCTCTCTCGCTCTCTCTCTCTTTTCCTCGCGCGACAGCCTGCGCAAAACCTGCTGGCGGCATTTCGCAGAGTTGCTGTTTGACAGCCAGACAAACAGCATGCGTCCCACCGCCTTGGGCCTGGACCATCGCCGCCTTTCCGCTCCGGGAAAGCCCATGCGAGGTCCCCGTCGCCCCGGCCAATCGGCTCCGAGAAGCCTCCAGCGGCACACGCTGACATAAGCACATCGGCCACTTTTTGCCCTTTCCGGAAGCCCCAGCGGATCTCCAGCCGAACGTATCGAGCGGCAGCGGGTTCATGGGGAAGAACTGAGCGCGCTATCTCGGCTTCGTGTTAAGCTGCGATGCGAGCTCTCCCTCAGGCTCCATCCGCGATGCGGGGTGCTGGCCTCTCCCTTGAGCTGCGTTTCCTGGAGTCTTCAAATACCCCCCATCTTCCCCGTGTCTGCTTCTGCTTTCTTTCCTCACTCTTCTCAAGCATCACGTTGGGAAAGGTCCTACATATATCTTTGTAGTCACTTTTTGCTTCGTTGCTTTTTGCTTTTTGCTCTCTCTCTCTTTCTCTCCCCCGAGGACTCTTTGTGCCTTTATCCTTTTTCTACAGCCATCATGTCTCTTCATCCTTTCGACCCATTGACCCCCGGCGAAATTCGCCTGGTGGTGAAGATCCTCGAGGCTTCGTTCCCTGGTGTCCCGCTCCGACACAAGGTCATCGAGGTCCAAGAGCCCATCAAGAAGGATATCGTGCCTTATCTTGAAGCAGAGAGATTGGGCCAGCCCCTCCCTGCAAAGCCAACCCGTATCCTCACCGCTCTGTTCCATCGCATGGATACCAAGGTGTTCATGAAGGCTTTGATCAATGCCGAGAAGAAGAGCTTGCTTCAATGCAGGGAGCTTCCAAAGGGCGTGCAGGTATTGATCAAACCCACGTACATAATTCGTGCGTGCGCAGCTTGGCTAACATTTGTCATAGGGCCCTACCGACGTCGACGAGATGATCGAAATGGAAAAGGTCTGCAACGATCATCCCGCAGTTAAGGCTGAGATTGCAAAGATGAACCTGCCACCAAATGTCGTTGTTTGCAACGACCCATGGATCTACGGAACGGACAGCGAGACCGAAGACCGCCGTCTTTTCCAGCACTACATGTACATGTGCGACGTCGACCATCCCCAGACCAACCATTACTCCCTCCCCTGCGCCTTCTCTCCAGTCTTTGATGGCATGACCAAGGAGCTTGTCCGTATGGATTATCTTCCTACCGGCACCGACCACAGCTTCACTTCAACCAAGCCCTGGAAGCCAGTGAAGACCGTGCAGTACGCACACGATCTCTTGGATGAGCCCCTTCGAACCGACCTCAAGCCCTATATCGTCCAGCAGCCAGAGGGCCCATCCTTCAAGGTAGATGGAAACCATGTGTACTGGCAGAAATGGAGATTCCGGGTTGGCTTCAACTACCGTGATGGTCTGGTGATTTACAACGTCACCTACGACCGTCGCAACGTGTTTTACCGATTGTCTCTTTGCGAGATGACGGTTCCATATGGAGGTAAGCAATCCACCACGGTTCCCTGACGTATCGAGCAGTTTTATTTTCCTTTTTTTTTTTTTTCCCGCAGTAACTGACTAGATCAGACCCACGCGCTCCCTACCACCGCAAGCAAGCTTTCGATGTTGGTGATGTCGGTTTCGGAAACACTGCCAATCAACTCTCCCTTGGCTGCGACTGCCTCGGTCACATCAAGTATTTCGATGGCTTCAGAACCGATTCCAAGGGTAACCCAGTTCTCTTGAAGAACGTCATCTGCTTGCATGAGCAAGACGCCGGCCTCCAGCACAAGCACACTAACTACAGGACCAACGCCGCCACCGTTGTGCGCAACCGCCAGCTCGTTGTGCAGATGATCTGTACAGTTTCCAACTACGAATACATTTTCGCCTGGATCTTCGACCAGGCCGGTGGCATTGAACTCGAGGTCCGCGCTACCGGTATCCTCTCCACTATGCCAATCGACAATGAAGACGGTACCAAGGTGCCATGGGGCACCAACGTCGGACCCGGTGTCATGGCTGCGTACCACCAGCACGTCTTCAGCATGCGTGTAGATCCGGCCATTGACGGACACAACAACACCGTTGTCTACTCAGACAGTGTTGCTCTGCCCGATGAGCCAAACATGAACCCTTACGGCGTTGGATACGCCCAGCAAACCACCGTCCTCAAGAATTCGTGCTCTGCAGACCTGAGCGTCGAAAACGCCCGTGTCTTCAAGATCAGAAACGACAACGTGATCAACCCCACGTCTGGAAACCCTGTGGCCTACAAGCTAGGCGTGATGCCCAGCCAGCTCATGATCATGTCTGAGCGCAGCTTCAATCGTCGCCGTGCGGCATTCGCCACCAAACCGATCTGGGTGACGAAGTACCAGGATGGAGAACTCTACTCCGCCGGTGAATTCACCAACCAGAGCAAGAAGTCTTCCGGTGTGGAATTATGGTCTGCACGGAACGACAACACTGAGAACACTGATGTTGTCCTCTGGCACTGTACGCATCCTCCCCGTCTTCCGTTTCCACAACGCCCCCCTTCCCCCTTGTTTTTCTAGTCGACTCATACTGACTTCTCTCCAGCTTTCGCACTCACTCATAACCCCCGTCCTGAAGACTTCCCCGTCATGCCTGTCGAGAAGATCAGCGTCACGCTCAAGCCTGATGGTTTCTTCGAGAAGAATCCTGCGCTCGATGTGCCACCATCGGACCAGTCGTTCAACAAGTCATCGCTACACCAGGATGAACCTGCCTGCAGTGGATGCCCTGCGAACTCGAAATTGTAGATTTCGCCGGATGAGGAACGATACATAGTTTATGACTGGCTTTTTTTGGTCTAATGATTTTCGTGCTGTACAGATGATTGTGGATACATATACTCCCTGGTTTCTTTTTTTAAATGAATTGTAGATATGCTGTTCTTGTTAGATATCAAAATTTTTGAAATTATTCTAAGATGTTATCTTTACTCTTCTTTCTGTCTTGATTAGTTGGTTAACTCTCCCTTTGCTTGTAGCTTATACACTGGCAATCTAATTGCAATGAAGTCCATTGAGGTATACTACAGTGGTGCCCTGATTTCTTTTTGTTTCAGGGGAGACGTGCAGACGTGGAGGATTGGAGTGCGTTCTGGCAACATGGTTGGTCCATGAACTCAGCAAATGCACCATGCGGAACGGCCACTTAAATCAGTAGAAAGAGATCACACAAAGTATGCTTGGATTAGAGAATGAAGAGAATGACAGTGTTTATTCAAGTCCGGCCGGCGTGTGGGAAGATTTAGGGGGGTGAAGAAGGACTGGGATGAAATAACACTACCAGGTGAACAAGTGGTCCGGGTGGCCGATAACGTGATTCTCATCATTCATTTGCAATATTAGTTAGCTGACCCTATATGTGCATGGTCTCCCCAAGAGTATACCATAAGTTTTAATTCAGCCCGTCGTCAGAGGCATCCACTCTCCATGGTGAGATCACCAAGCTTGAATTTTTCTCAGCCAGCCGACAAATCACCTATCGTACTCAAAACAATTATTACAAATTATATACGGTGTACTGCGTACTCGATACCACTGCTCCTATTATATCATATATAAGCCCTTTCAATTGATCTTGCTCCACTGGCCGGTCTCCGTATTATTCGCAAGATCGGTTCGCTCAGTCTTCCCGCCTTTGAGCCAGCCATTTTCCACAACACCTCCACCAGGCACGCCGATATCTCCGCGGTGAAGGCGGTTCGCTCCGTCCTTGACTGTGAAGTTCGCCAAAGAGACCTCATTGAAATCGCGCTCCCGGATCTTAGGGGTTCCAAAGAACTTAGCTTCCACCTCTTTTGGAGTGATATGCAACTCGAAATATCCACGGTAATACATCTCGGACCATTGAAGGACAGAGTTCTTCTCTACCAGCTTCTTTGATCTCTTGTTCGCGGCAGGAATCTTGACTTTTGCTCCAGCTGGTGATGGCGATGTGATCGCGGTTCCACCAAATTCAACACCAATGGCTCCTAATCCGGATTTTTCATCGTAGTCTGCATGGTCTAACCACACGATGTCACTGACCCAGTTCGCGTGAGAATCCCCTGCGATCAAGATAGTGTTGTTGATCTTATTTTCAACGAGAGTCTCAAATGTGCGGTTCCGGTTTGCTTGATATCCATCCCAAGCATCCAGGTTGAAACCAGAGTCGTCGATGTGCGAGAACACTGATATAACTATTAGCAGCGTAGCCCGTAGGGAGAACAGGGACAATTTTACCTATTTGACTGCCGACAAGGCGCCATTTAGCACCACGCTCGGAAGATTTGATCAGATTGCGGTAAAACCAGTTTTCTTGCCGCGAACCCATCAAAGTGCGACTGGCGTCGTCCTTCAATTTTTTGACATACAAGGTATTGAAGTATAGATCAGTAATTGAACGATCATATTGTCTGGTGTCAAGCATCATGAGATCAACAAGTGATCCGATTTCGAAATTTCTCCAAATGCGAAGATTGTCATCCATATCGACCTGTCTGTAAAAATATCTGAGCCGAATGCTCCGGAGAAAAGATGAAAAGGCATATTTTACCTGATTGGCATCCATTCAAAGTACGCGCGAACTGCGTTCATCTTTCTTTGATCCACAGAAACACCACCAGATGCCAAGAATGAGAGCTCGATATTCCTCAGCCAAGAGGAGCCATCACGGTAAGTGTTGTCCCCCACCTCTGCCGAGTGCATGCGGTTAGAACGACAGTAATCAAGCGGGCAAGGCTTTACATACCGTGATCGTCCCATGTTGGGATCCAGGGGAAATTCTGATGATTGGCAAGGAGGTCAATATCAGTTCGATGAGTTGCAAGGCGTTTACGATAATCGTAGAGAGTGTACAAGGTGCGGTCTGGCAAAGGTACACGCCCGATACCTTTACCTGATCCACTAGACCCAACGGTTAACATTCCCTCCTTCATTTGTGGACATCTTAACTCACTATAATCCATCAGGGAATTCATAGTAATAATCACTGCATTCAAGTCGAAGTAGTTAGAAGTAAGATTTGTCATTATGAGAATTGGAGCAGTTTTTACCCAAGGTGGATGACATAGTCAACAGAATCCTTTCGTACGGGATTCCCGTAGGCATTGAAGAAGCCAGAAGCTAAATAATTTCCTTAGTAAATCGTGCAGACAAGATATGCAAAAAGAGAACGGGGGTTCATACGATAGTTGCTGCAAGAGTACACAGCTAAATTCACCTGGTCAACGGCTTGAGATGCCTCTGGAAGCGTTTTGGTACGACCGATGGGACTTTTCGTGTCGGAATCACACACAGAGAATTGGTAGTAGTATGTGGTGAACGGCTTTAGGTGTTTTGCTTCCACCTATTTTATCGAGGTTAATCAATGCATATATCGTTGCAAAACGAAACTTACCTTGACCGTATAGTCAACATCGGAGCCAGTAAAAACCACACCTTCATCCACCACGCACTTCAGTTCCTTATCCTTAGCGATCTTAAACTCAACACACACTGGTGCCTTTGATATCGGTTTGTACTCATCACCAGATTTGTGGATGGGAACAGGATTATATAGTGGGCTTGAGCCAGTGACGGGGCTGTTATCATTCACATCATCCGATGTGGGAGAGCATCGCGTCCAAAGGATAACAGAATTTGCGTATGGATCGCCAGATGCAACTCCATGGGTGAAGTTCAGTTTGGCGGGGTCAAAGGCAGCCGCAGGATCAGATCTCTTAATAACTTTGTTCAGAGAGATTCCTAAGTCAGGGTGGTTGAGCGAAGGGCTACGGTAGTTTAGGTTCCCGGAGTAGGTGGCGGAAGCCGTGGAGGCGGAGAGGGCCAGCAGAGAAAGCGCGCGGTACTGCATGATTGTCAATCCTGCCGGCGCAATGACCCAACGATGCTGGCGTATTCTCCGCAATAACATGCGGTCATTAAGAACCTTTATATATTTTCCCACAGGATACCTTGCACTGGCGCTTGTGAGTTAAGATTTTTCGCGCATCGCGTGAACTGTCACTAGCCGTTCTTTTCCATGGATGTCTTGATATCCATCTGGGTAGGATTTTGATCATCATGATTCCAGTGCACCGCGCTTCCCCTGACCTAACGACCCCACGTGCGGGCCCAACGCGCAGAATACGAACCAAATGGAATGCGGAGATAGTGGCATGTGTAGGCAATCCTCCGTGCCAACCTTGGTCTACTACGGAGTATTATTTTTTATTTTTCTTGCAACTCCAGACCCACTCGGCAGACTTCCAGATCTCCAGTCGTCGAAAGTCGGAGATCAGGGTTTCCCGGGCGGAAATTGTCACCCACGGTTTTGGCCAGGCGTTTTCCTTTGTTCTACAGAGTACTCCCTACTCCGTATTCTATCGAACGATCCCGGAGCCCATGATCACTGGGGTGCTTCGCAGTGATGATATCATGCCCAAAATGTTTCAGTGGGGGGATTGTAGGGGGTGGGAAATTGCATCGAAGAGCAGTGTCCACACGTGTAGTGCTGATTGCAAACAAAGAGCGTGCCGACTGGCAACCTGGCCCGAGTTTCCATGTGATTGTGGTGCCCCCAAGGCTGGTCTGAGGGGAAGGGTCCCGGCTTAGTTCAGGAGAAAGTGGAGCTGCACCAAGGGAAGCATCAAAGTTGTTTCCCATCGCTCAACTGGGGCACTGGATTTAACAATGACATCTCACTATCAGCATTCTCAGGGGCCGGCCGGCTGCCACTGACATGAGTCTAGGGTGAAGTGAAGAGGAGATTCTGAGATCATGTCGTGAAGCATTGCGCAGATGCGTCGTTGGAAGATATGCGGAACAACAATGTTCCGGTTAGAATCGCAACGGATGGCATCTTGGCGCAGCCACGTATTGCGAGCGAGTTTAGCGGTTTCTCTCGGGAAGTTCGGCCTGCAGCAATACATACAAGCAGCAGGGCCGGAGGAGCGGCGGACGGGAGCATATGTACTCCGTACTCTTCTGTTTCTCTTTGCACTCCTCTTGTTATGTAGCACTAGAAACGAGACTAGTTACTCTGTACCTGAAGATCTTCGGATAGAAGATCTCTGTTACGACAGCCCACGCGTCGTACCAGACAGAATTATGGCCAGAGTTTCTGCGCGACGAAGCTTGGCTTGTTCGTGTATTTGGAACGCTAGAAGGAGAGTTGAGGGACTCCAGTTGGATCTTGATCAACGCTATTCTAGCTAGTTAATTGGCCTGGGGGATCGCTGTTGAAAGGTACTCCATGCACAGCAAACTTTTCTCAGTGTGAGTTCACTGTGTGTTCCTTTTCACAAGATATAAGGCAGTTTCCCCCATAATCTGCTCATGTTTTGGTCTATCCATGGTTGACATAGGAATTGGTCATCAAGTAAGTTGGTGGTGTCATGGCCTGGTGTTCCCTATCATGCTATGCCACTCCAGTTTCTTTCCACCAATAAGAGATATTGTGTTTTTGTGAGCACTTTGGGCTGTCATGGCTTTGAATACCCCAATCACCTGCAGAGCCTTCAAAAATAGGGCTGATTGTCAAGGCAGCAGTTGTTATATATAAGGCCAGGGCAAATCCCACTCACTGCTGACTCTCTTTTGGAGGCCACAGAATAGCACCCTGTTTTCTTATGGTTGAAACAACATTTCATGGAAACTATGGCTGCAGACAACATTCATATTATTGGAAATAATTATGCTTCCAATGATGTGCCCATACCTGACACATTCCTCACTGTTGCGCCTCTGGACACCAAATCAATAGCTGTGCATTCCACTGGTTTCTCTGTGTCCCCATTGTCTCAATATAAGAACTTTTATGCTGTGATACTTGACAATGTTCTTAGTTCTTCTGAATGCACCTAAATGATTTCTCTAGCAGAGCAAAGTGTTGCAGAGCCTGACCCTGTTATTGGTTCCCGCTGGAAGCCTGTACTGATGATTGCTGGCTGTTATTGCTGGAGAGCAATATAGGGGTGTTCTGGGGAAGTTAGCAGTGGATCACAGACAGAAATGGTGGTTTGTGAAGCTGAATGAATGAATGCAGTTTTTAAGATATATTAAGGCCAGTTTTCCAAATGTAAGAAAGGAGCTGGGTCTGTTCATTGACTGTAGAGCTGACCAAGTTAAAATGTTAGCACATTGTGATGGCCCAACAATAAAGGGAAACCAACACACATTTTACACTCTTCATCTCTATCTCAATGATTCTATGCAGCCAAATGATGAGCATGGCCAGCTTGTTGGAGGCGCCACTATGTTCTGTTCCTCAGATGAAAAGAAATGATTTAATGTTAACCCCAAAGCTGGCAGTGTCCTGATCTTCCAACATCACTCTTTATATCACTCTGGGGATCTTGTCTTACAGGGCGTCAAGTACACAATGAGGACTGATATTTACTACAAACCAGATGATCTGATGGAAGAATGAGATTGCCAAAGTATCAACTTTGATTTTGATTTATGTTGGTGACATGGGTGGCAGATCAATCATCTTCAGTCCACAAATTTATAGAGTCTGTCCAAATGCTCACCTACACAGCAATAGAGGACCTCTTCCTTGCTTGGCTGCGAAGCTAAGTGCTACACCTTGATGGTGTTTTAGCTGTGGAGAGGGTTATGGTAAAGCTTGACTCTGTAATCTCAAAGAATATGAAACTATGTACATCTTGAAGTCTAAATAGACAAATCTTGAGCTCACATCTTCCCTTTCCATATATTTCTGAAATGAGTTTTCCTCTCTAAAAAGGTCTCTTGACATCTCGCGCCACTAAAATCAATCAAAACCCCTTGCTGTGTCTTTGGCTATCATGATATTTCTCAGCTTGAGGGCTGCAATGCACAATCCAGAGAGAATGTAAAAAGGTAGAGTTGTCAATGTTGACTCTGAGCTGTAGCAGGAGTGACAACTGCCTTGTCAAGAGTATAGCTATAGATTTATTTGAGCAATACATACCCAACAGGATCCCCTTCAGTATCTGGCATTTGTCATTATTTAAGAGGCATGAGTACAGAGTAGCTTCTGCTCTAAACAATGCTTCTGGTCTTGAGAGATTTGAGAGCCAGCCATAATAATGAGGCATAGAGTCTTTAGAGTGTAAATAAACTCATCTACTCCGCAGGTGTCCCTTTTAAGTTGCAGCTGTGGCTAGCAGCTACCACCAGATTCAGAAACTCAAGTCTAGATGAGTGGTGGGGGCTCCAACAGGGCAGAGCAGAGACACCTTCTTTAGCCAATGTGACCAGCATGCCCTTGTCTTTGTGCTGTGGGTGGCTGTTGATAATGTTTGTACAGCTTCAGGAAGATCAGTCAATGAGTGGGACTGTTGTTTCTTGCTACTTGGCAGCATTCCTTCTCTTGTGATTGGAGGGAGCAGGACTGGAGCCAAGAAAGAAGCAAAGAGAAAAAAGATCTGAATGGCTGAAGCCTTGGAAGGATTCTATGCCTGTTCCATTGAGGTTGAATTCTGCAAACATAAAACATCTTTCAGCCATTGCTCCAGAAATTGATGCGAGTCTTCACATCAAGATGCTAGTCACCAACTTGTTGATCTAACAAACTGAGCATGGTTTCGGAATGCGCATCCCCGTGGCTCACTTCCTCCATTACCAAGTCTTGGTGGATGAGGTTTCTTGTGCTTTTCTATATTTGTTTTCCCCGGCAATGATAGATTCCGAAAACTGTGTTGGATGAGAGAGAGCCTGCTCCATGGCTGTTGCAAAACAAATGCTGTTCTCTTCACGCACTATCTTATCCAGCTTGAAGCCTGTCAATGTTCTGTTCCAGTGTGTTATTTCAATACATTGACCACCACCTGCTTTCAATGATAAGACGCCATTCTTTGAGGGGGCCTCCGAATATAGCCGATTGCTCCTTGTCTGATCATCCGACTATTCATCCAGCTCCGTTCCCTTTTCAGCTGCCTCGCTGTGTCAATGTATACTTGTGGTTACGAGCTCTTCAGAAGCTTTGACATATACTCATAGATTCAGATGCCCAGTTTGGGTTGCGTTCTGAATTTCAGTCTTCCAACTTATTTCAAAATCTCTTGTGGGTTTGAAGTTATATGTTCATATATTCGATTTTTCGACAAGCTTGAAAAGATGCCGTCTCTACTACGATACTTGTCCGCACTCGATCCGGATTTAAATCATAATATGCGATAGGCATTGTTAAACACATTCAATTCCGGATGGGCAGAAATAGCCAAAAATACGGTAATGGACTGATTTCATATATAAAAATTGCATGGCAATGTTTGCCGGCAACCTTAACACAGAGTGCAACACTCCAGACTTTGATTACCCACCCTCGCTTCGACGAAGCACTTGTTGTTTTGTCAATGAGGCCACGGTCAATGCGATTTGCTTAAGCGGACACGTGTTTATGTTGACCGCACCTTAGAGCTGGTATCGACTATGCTTGGTGAAAATGGCACAGCAACGACGTGCGCCCTGGGTAGGCATGCGGAGGCGCCAGGCGGGAGGATTTCCCTGACTGAGCTGGTATCTATTCCTACGCGAGCTTCCCCGCTGAGAACCGCGTCCTGGGTGGCACCAAAGTTTAATGAATGAGATCTCGACCTTCAGCATGAATGACCCGTTGAATTTCGTAAGCCTCGCAGACAGGTTGCGCATTACACAAAGTTTTTCAACACAAGATACCTGTGTATCAGAAGAACAGTTTCAGAGGTAAGGGACCGCCGTAAGCCCAAATTCGAGGTCGAAGAACGTAAGACCCTGGGACGGCAACTAGGCAATCTGGACGGCGTGCGCAAGCATCCCAAACATATTCGAGCTCTTCGAAAGTCGTCATTTATACACTCCCCCAACAGCGATCTGCGGGATAGCTGGCGCCGCCATCTCGGAGGTCAAGGCCACGAGACGCCAATATAATATCCACAGTATTCTTTAGGTCTATTATGTCTATTGATTCTCCATCCCCCAAGCTGGTCAACACTGAGTTTTGCATAGTCCGTGCCTTCTGCCTGTACAGATGATGGAGTTCCGGGCAACGACTAAGCACCTATTCAGATCGCAGCTATTCCTTGGGCCAACGCACACCGAATCATCCAGGGGTAAACTTTTGGGCTGTTTTGTTCTTTATCCATGTGCTTGCCGCATTTAATATTGATCTACATGCGACATAGCCTCTGGAGACTTACAGAAGTCCTTCTGCCTCCCTTTCTTTTCACATCTACCTGCAGGCCTACCTAGATGATGATAAGTCGTGCAGGATAGGCCAGCATGTGGTTCTGGAGCCCCACATTTTGGCAAATTCTAGAAATCAAGGATTCGCAGCCTGACATCGCCTGATTTGCAGAATCGCGAATCTGTGGAACACAGAGTGGAGTTAACAGGATAGACATCTTATGCTGACGTAGCGAGGCCCCAGCAGAGGGCCCGAATAAGTTCCCGAGAAATGACAGCTTATCAAGCCTCCAATCGGGGTCGCTAGATGAGAAGGGATTAAAAAAAAAAGGGTGTTCCTCTTCATCGGAAAAGGAAAGCCGGATGTGAAAATCATCTGTTCCGCAAATCTGGTTGACATCCTCGGCCTCCGAATCCTTACGGATGTGGCTGACATAACAGCGCTGGTATCAAGGTCACATTGGTTTTGCTGGCGTTATCTTCACGGTGTAAGGTAGTTCACCACTAAGCAAGCCACACCACTAAACAAGCCAAATCTTCCACCACCAAAATTCCTCCAATGTTCAACATTCAATATGCAACAACATGGTC